TTTTTTTTTTTTTTTTTTTTTTTTTTTTTTTTTTTTTTGATGCCTGACAACCACAAGACTCATATTTGGACTTATCCTTCTGCTTAAACCATTCAGGCAACTTTCAAGGAACTTGCAGAGAAGTGTCATGGATGGTGGCCACAACAGGGGCCGGGTCCCACTAGCAGCGTTGAGTTTCCTCAACGCCCGCATCTGGACGTCTCTATGGATATGTGCAGAAATCGCGTTGAGTTTTCTCAACCGCACATCTCCAAGAACGCGTCCAGATTCAGGCGTTGAGGAAACTCAACGCTGCTAGTGGGACCTGGCCCCAGGTGATACCATAGTGGTAACCCTTTGAATAACCTCCTCTGGCCCGAGTCCTCACTCTTGACCTTTTTTTTTAAAGATTTTTTTTTTAAAATGATTTATAAAATATAACAGGAAAACATATTTTTACAAGGCCGCTATTTGAAGGACAGTAAGAGAACCTTCAGAGGATATTAAACCACCAGTACCTGTCCCATACATCGGCCGCGGGCAGCTTCGGAGGTCCGAAACAGAAAATGGGCCGCCACCGATGAAATATATCCACGGCCCGCCCGCGTAACCCGCCGCGGAATTGTTTGTCAAGCGGGGAAAGGTTCCGGTGGTCTAAACCACCAGACTGAGTACGTTTCACTGCCATTTCGCTAGGACGCGGCAGTGCTCGTGCTGCGTCTGGCGGGATGTACCGACCTGGCAGGTCGAAAAATATACATCCAGGCAAAACTTGTCACGTGCACAACCAGTTTTGCCTGGATGTATATTTTACGAGCCGACAGGGCCTGGTACATCCCGGCAGACGGGATGCGAGCACTGCCGCGTCGTTGTGAAATGGCTGGGAAATGTACTGGTGGTTTAAACCGCTACCGTCTTCACCCGAAAATAACGCCCGGGCGTTGTATACGAATATAAGGCCCAGGCGTTATAATTAGTAAATTGGTGGCAACTTCGGTGGGGGCCCAAAAATCTGAAAAAAAGAAAAATAAAAAAAAATTCTGTAAAACAAATGTTCTGCAGAATTGCAATGCGACCATCTTTTGGCTGAGGGTCACTGCAGAATTCCTTATAAACTCGAAAATAAAAAATCAAACCGAAATATGCCCCTTGGAAGTCAAAACCCCTTTCAAACCCCTTTAAAACCCATGTATATCCCCCTCCCCGCCCTTTCAAACCCATGTATACTACCCATACTTGCGGCGCACCGGCACTGTGCTGTGCGCGGACCCGAGGTGCGCGCGCACCGGCGCGTGCTGCACATCTGGGTGCGCAGTGTGCGCTGCGCACGTCTGGTGTGCTGCGTGATTGTGCGCAGTGTATAGTTCTATGTTCTAGCGGTAGATACATTCGATTTCCGTCATCCTTTTTTTTTTTTTTTTTTTTTTTTTTTGAAAAGTCACCCCCTCCGTCATCCTATCGATGGAAGTACCAGGAGTCCAGCCGCGAGGTTGGAGACTTACCTGCTCTCTCTCKCTCTCTCTCTCTCTCTCTCTCTCTCTCTCTCTCTCCCCTTCCTCCTGACTTCTTCCACCGCTTCCCACCATCCCACCTTCGGCCTTTCTCCCGCCTTCCGCCATCCACCATCACTATTTCTCTCTCTCTCTCTCTCTCTCCCTCTTCCCGCCATCTCTCTCTCTCTCTCTCTCACACACACACACACACAAAAAAAAAAAAAAAAAAAAAAAAACCCTTCAGATCCCCCCTTTTTTTTTTTGGAGGCCCTGCGCGGCCTCAAATTTTTGTTTTTATTTTTTTGCGGTTCTTGACGCGACATCCCACTGGGGCCTACAACACCCCTCCCCAGGTTT